CTCTTGATGAATCAGTCAAGGTTCTTTATAAGATTGTTTTTTTTTCCCCAATGGACAAGTTTTCAAATGAGAATCGTAATTGGAAAGAATTCAATATTTGATCATGCTAACATAGAGTTTTTCGGTTAGTTTAACAGTACTTCGTTAAACACTAATATTTGCTAAAACAAGGAAAATTTGTTCGAAAGTCAAATGAATTTAATCATATTAAAATGAATTAGAAACAATAAATTTATCTTAAAAGATTGTTTAAAACAAAATAAAACCTCAAAAAAGAATTTCTTTAAATAAAATACTTCTCATTACAAGTTTATCATTTCCAGAATTCGACAATAAACCATGACTTAAAAAGAAGTATTAAATTATTATAGAAGCCATTTGAATCATTATAAGAAAACGAATGTCTTTTATAGACATATCTATAAAATATGTTATATATCTTCTATAGATCCGGGTGAGGTAGCCGTTTGCTTTGGTGATGAAGGTACATGGTGTCCATTGTATAAACATGATAATGACGGTCAAATACATCAGGAATATAGTGACGGAGAAGAAACAGTTTCATCATTATCATCCGATGATGATTTACTTAGTTTAACACAAAATGTTAAAACATTAAATGTAAATGATACACATATTCCATCAAAACAAAATATTGATTCAAATATTAGTCGTTCATCATCATCATCAATAGCAAGTAGTAGTCGTGCATCAAGTCCTTTTTTTAATACAATATCAACGAATACTCAAATACAACCGCTAAATGATTATCATTATTCAGGTAGGACTCGTTCTTCTTTTTTTTTTTTTTGTTTTTGCAAAATAAAAGTTGTTTTTTTTTTTTTTTGCTTTTGTAAATAGGATCAAATTTGTATTCTTGTCAATCTCTACCAAATGATTGGCATGAACAAAAAAATAATTTTTGGCCACAGCAATTGACCATGTCAGATTCATTTTTATTATATAATCAAAGAGAAAATTTTTAAAAATAAAATCATTTATCTATCTGTTGTGTATGTGTTGTCATGACATTTTTTCTTTTGTCAATATATATATTTATTCAAACATGTGTCCATATGTTCATCAGATTTGAAAAATGATTCTCTTATATATATATATAGATGTATTGTGCCACTGTTGTAACACTCCATCCATCGTTATTCATCGTCTTTTTTTGTTATATCTTCTTTCTTTTTTTTCATTTGTCTGTCATAAGAAAACCCCCAAAAAAAAAACATAAAAACTATAGTTCTTTTATGGCTTATATTAAGGAAAACTTATGATTTATACACTAAACAGTTATTGCGTAAATGATGAATCATATGAGCAGAAAAAGAAAAGAAAGAACCAGAAGACGAGGTGTGCATAGTATGACATCATTACATTGAAATATGTACTTACGCAAGATGTTTTAGTTTTATAAATTGATGCTTTTTTTCTGTAGATTTTTATATTTCTCAATAACTTATTTCGGTTATTATCATGCCCAAGGGAACAGGTGACGTTCCGTCGTCGACTGTAGTAATGTCTCCATCAACGACGACATGTCCTTGGAAAAAAACAGAAACAGTACCTGTTTCAACTTCATTTCGAGAACTTATGGATAGTGATTTAGCAGCTAAATTACAAAAAGAAGAAGACGAAAAATTTGCTCATGAAATAAGGTATGATATCTAATGAAATTATTTTAAATATATTCTATTATTTCTATAGTAATTATTCAAAAACACCAATTGAAACAGAAATTTCCGTTTTAACTGAAGAAAATGATGATGATGATGATCATCCTATTGATCCGTCTTCATTAGAAGAAAATCACGATAATGATTATTTATTAGCTTTAATGCTTCAACATGAATATAACACTGAATTTAATGGAATGATGAAAAAATATGAATCAACTGTTAATCGTAATAGCAAAGGTAGAAAATTTTCTTTTTAATCATTCAAATTCAATTTTTTGACTTTTAGTTAAAGTCTCAATGAAAAATTTTATGTTATTACCTGCAACAAAATCTAATCAAGTCGATGCAAATGATGATGATGATGATTTCGAAGAAATGAAAGAAACATATAGTGATTGTGAACATGGTATTTTCTTTTTTATTATTATTATTTAAATTATTTTTATTTCTAATAAAGATCATCCAATGCCATCATTTAATCGTCGAGGTACAAGTGGTAAAGGTGCATCATTAGTAACAAAACATAATGCTGAATTATGTGGTAAACGTAATGTAGCACGTGTTATGAATACATTTCCACCTGAATTTGATACGGGAAATGTTTTAAATAAAATGCAATTACCAAATCGTGTTTATAATCAACTTAAATTACATTCTTATGCTGAAGAAAAACGTATGAATCGTTTACATGATAAAGTTGAAAAAGCTACAGCTGTAAATAATTTGTTTTGTTTTTTTTTGTTATTTATTTTTCAAAAACAAAACTAAAATTAATTTTTTGTTTAATAGAGTTTAGCATTTGATCCCAAAACACGTATTATTTTATATAAATTATTAAATGCTCGTATACTTGATGAAATTGGTGCAATTATTGCAACAGGTAAAGAATCAATTGTTGTATATGGTAAAGGTGGTGACACAGAAGAACATAAAATACCATCTGAAGTAGCAATTAAAGTATGTAGGAAAAAAAAAAGATGCCGCCGGATAAATTAGTAAATCTGTCATCTGCTCAGGTTTTACTTTCAATAGATTAGAAAAAAAAATAGAGCATGAAATTTTGCACATTTATTTTTTACTTTGTTGAATACAAAAAAAGAAATTTTCGAAGACTCAATAACCTTAGGAGGTTAATCAAATTTGGTCGCTTTTGATATTACATATGGTAACCACAATTTTTTTTCTTTTGTATACGCAATACGAAAACTAATTGTGTCGATCGATGTAATTTTTCATGCTTTACAAAATGACATATCGATTAGTTTATGCAGGGTCAGACATCGTACTTGTATGATTCAATGTAGTCTACGATAGAAGTCCATGAAAAATAGAATCACTATGTTAATTTGTAGAGCATGAAAAATCGTATCGATCTACACGATTAGTTTTTGCACTGAATTTATAATAGAAAAATGACACGTGTCATAGTTATTATTTGAATATTCAAGAGTGATAGATCCCCTAAGACTATTTAGTTCACTAATTTGTTTTTTGTATTCTGTAAAAGACAAAATAAATAAACAGAAATGTGCAGAATTTCGTACTCTATCTTTCTATTGTAATGAAAGTGATTTCTAAGGTTGTGACCGATTCATAACCTTATTTGGCGGTATTCTTTCATTTGTATTTATGTTAATTATTATTATTATTATTATTAGATTTTTAAAACAACATTAAATGAATTTCATACACGTGAAAAATATTTACGAGAAGATTATCGATTTAAAACTCGTTATAAAAGTCTTAATCCAAGAAAAATTGTTAAATTATGGGCAGAAAAAGTAATAAAAAATTAAATCAATAAAAAAATAAACAATAATATATCTTTTTTTATTATTTTATAGGAAATGTTTAATTTACAACGTCTTCAACGTGTTGGAATACCTTGTCCAACACCTGTTTTACTTAAAAAACATGTTCTATTTCTTTCATTTATTGGTAAAGATACAGTACCTGCAGAACGTCTTCGAGATGCTATTCTTTCACCAGAAGAACTTGCTAATGCATATCAACAATGTTTAAATGTAAGATTGTAATTTTCTAAACACTATTGAGACTCGATGGAATATGATATAGACTTTAAAATCTTTTGATTTATCTCATATTTTAAAATTGTGTTTTTTTTTGTTATTCTTTTTTAGCTACTCAAACGTCTTTATCATGAATGTAAATTAATTCATGCCGATTTTAGTGAATATAATTTATTATGGTTTAATAATATAGTACATGTCATAGATGTAGCACAATCAATTGAACCTTATCATCCAAATGCATATACATATTTACTTCGTGATTGTACAAATCTTTCAACTTTTTTTAGTCGACGATCTCTTAATGAATATGTTTTAACACCTGAAGAAACATTTAATCATGTAACTGGTCTTGCATTTGAAAAACATGGACAAGAATTTCTTAATGAAGTACAAGCATATGAAAAAAATATTCGTTTACAAAGTGAAGCAATTAAAGAAAAAGAAAATTTTGCATTTGATTATTTCTTTGATCAAACAAAAAAATGGAATATTGACGATGATGATGATGATGATGATTCTTCATCAGATGGGGACGATCTCGAGATAAATGAAGCAGTAGAAGATGATGATGAAAATTATGTGGATTTAACAAGTGGTGATGAGTCTATGACAAAATCTTCGTTATCAAAAGCAAAGAAATCACCATCACGAAAAACAAAACTTTCTAAATAGTCACCGTAACATTGTTTTTTTGTTTTTGTCTGTGTGAATTTATGATTGTACACATAGATTTTTCTTTTTGTTCTATTGTTACCCTATTCTTAAACATACAGCAATAAGCATATAAATATAACTTTTTTTTTTCAAATATTATTTTCTTTTGATAAGTGAAGAGAAAAACAACACAATTGATCACGAGTGGATTTCTTAGTCATTTACTGATATGCGTAGATCGATTTTCATTTCATAGAATGAATAAAATGGGGCTCTTTTTTCATATTTTAAACTTCTATTATTTCGTAAGACAAATATTCGTTTGACTCTTTCATTATATAGAATGTTTTATTCTTATATTTCTTTTGATTGTTAAGTACAAGTTTTATTGGATGTATTAAACCACAGAAAAAATAAAACTTGTAGAGTCTAAACCTCGAAATAAACAAGTAATGGTATTGGTCCATTATAATCACGAATGAAAGTTAGCATATATACAATGGAAGATAAGGTCATTACAGCTTCATTAAAACGATATTTTTCTTTGAAGTAGATATGTACAATCAATTTTCAATATTTATTTTTCAGATTATTCAATTCCGTATTCTGTTTTTTTTCTGACTATAAAATGTCGGACCAAGCATCATCAACTGATACAACTGGCTCGACTGAACTTAAAGCTGGCCATCCTCCAGCTAGTAGGAATTAGAATTATTTCGATTTCATTTTTTAATTATTATTATTTTATTTAAATAGCTAAAGTAGGTGGTATGCGTGTTGGTGCACCTCGACCACGACATGCATCACATGGTGAAGAAAAGAATGCTGCTGATGAGGATACTGAAGGTGTTCAAGAAACATCGGACGATAATGCAGCTGCAACTAGTGGTAACAATGAAACGGCTGCTGAAGATGTTAATAATGAAGAGGCTACAAGGTGAATGTGCAGAATGTTGAACATATTATTAAAATCGAATTTTTTTTTAGCGCTGTTGCTCATCGTACAGCTGGTGAATTGGTTTCAGGAGTATTTGTACCAGTATGTAAAAATTCGATAATGAATTTTTTTATTCTATAATTAAAAAACAAACAATCTGCTTTTTGAGATTTTTATATACAGAAGTTTTATTTTGAGAAAGATATATTTGCACATTCTATTTTCTCGAAACAATTAGTATGTGAAAAATAAATGGATTTAAGATGTTGATATCATTGAGTAAGAAAGTGTATATTAGAAGAAATTCTGTTGAATAATCATTTTTTGAAATTTGGCAAATATAAGAATTATATTTGATTTTTAAAACTATGTATTCCTATGGTTTATAATAATAGCCGAAAGATAAATATTTTTTTTAGGACATCAACGTTTGAGTCAATCTGATTTTTTGCCAGTAAAAAAAATTCATCTTTTGGTTATTTTCTCGTCAATTTCTGAGTAATATTTTTTTTAATATAATACTCACAATCTAGATATTCTATTGAGTGTCACACGAAAGTAGCGAAAATTAACTGTTCAACACTATGATTTTCTTCTGTTATAGTTAATATATGTTATTGAATTCAATAGATTTTAGTAGTCTCTTCATTAGAAGATTTATTTGTAAAATATGATTGATTTATTTAGATTGAAAAGGCATATACAACTGAAGCTGTGAAAAATATTCATGATAAACCTGGTACACATCCGAAAAATGAAATTCATACTCATGCAAAATATAATGACCAAAAGTTTATCAATCAGCCACGAAAGCAATAAACGTTTGTGCAAGAGGAAACAACAACAATACAAGCTAAAGATTTTACATTTTCAGTTCATGTTATTTGAAGGTTCTGCTTTAGTTTGTTTATTCATTCTTCTGTTTTTTGTTGTTTGAAGAAATTCATATATCAATAAATATCCTCGCATTACGCTCAAGAATGATAAAAGAAAAATACATTTTTTCTTTATTTCAAGATTTTATTCAAAAAAATATAGCAGATAGAAATGCACGACGAAATTGATACATTATCAATACTCGAGCAACATATTTCATTCTATTGTTCATTTAAAACATCTGAGTATGAAGACAAAGGTAGATGATCTAAATATTTTTCTTCTTTATTGTCTTCTACAGGCTTGCCAATTAGGGGGTGGCGGGTGGGGGGGGGGGGGGGGG